GCTTAACTAACCCTATGTTAATTGTACGTGTATGGACCTATTTTTTTGAATCATATATTAACATTGAAAGTAATGACTTTCTTTGGTCTGTGAAAAATAATAACGAAAATAGAAAGTGCAGCTTAAAATGGGGCCTTTTACTCAAACAAAATGAATTGAATTTCTTTGGTCTGAAATTCAGTTCTCTGTATATATTTACTGAGATTTAGTAATATTGTGTCTAGTTTTTTTTTCCACGAATTACTGGTAGCAATAGACTATATTCTTATACTTGTTTGTTAATCTGTAAAAGTATGTTCCTATTTCCTAGGTGGGTGAGATTGTTGAAAACGAACATAGGATGTTTGGACATGATAAAAATCCAAAGCAACCACAATATGGTGATGATGGTACTACTTCAGAATCAGAGGGTAGTTTTATAGTTCCCAGAAGGCTAGTGAAAACTTTTGAAAATGTTAGACATCCTTGCATAATTATATTGGGCCATCTATATGATGGCTATAAAGCCTTGCATGTATCATGCTATCGATATCAGCAGGTAGTGAGTGTAGCAGCCGCCCAAAACAAGCACGTGCCCGATTACCTGCATCGTTGGAGTATTTTACCAAATTGACAAAATCTTGAAACTCTTTCGGCTGACTAAAGAAGTCGTTAAATGGGCTAGAGACAAGAGCAAGAATTTCTTAACTGCGGCTGACCTTGACACGTTCTCGATTCACTTTTGTAAAAGACTTAGATATGGAATTAGTGAGCGTCAAGAAACCTTGTACTTGTTTCTACTTTCTAGGTGGATGAGGTTGCTGGCACACGACGACAATATGGTGATGATACTGCTGCTTCGAGACCAGCGAAAGGGTTTAGAATTCCCACAAAACTACTCAAAGAATTTGAAAATATGAGAGACTGCACAGTTATATTGGACCAAGACTTGCATGTAGCAGCTGTACAAAATAAAAACATTTAATCATTTATATGTACACGTAAATTTCTTTATTTTTTTTCTGCCACGCCCTCTTATCTATGTTAACCAGCGTCAGTGATGATTGATAATACGTCATACACCTTTCAAACGTCACGAACTCATGGTTTGACTAAATACCATCAAATTGCATAAGATAATTATGAACACACCAAATTAGTTTAGGGTGATTACATGCATCATTAGAATAAACATCATTAAGTTTGTTTGATGCAGCTGTAAAATACCAAAGCATCTATACAAACCAAACGTAGCTTTAGGTCTTTCAATCGATTTCGTGTCAATGTTGTTTATGTTAAAATAAATAGTTTCAGATTAGTCATCTCTGTTTTAATTTTGTATGAGAGTAAAGTTTATTGAACAGGATAAACAATATTTAGTTTCATTTCTTTCTCCAAATAAATAATCAATATTTGTAACATTACAAATCATGTTATATATATATATAGACACATATTTCATCACATGCTTTTAATTTTATTTATACATTACTTTGTATATTTCATTTGAAATGATGTTTTCACATAATTTTAGCGTTTCAAAACAATTTAGGAATGATTCTGTAATTTTTCGTAAAATGTTTTTAATCAGAATGTATTTATTTTTATTTTTACTGAAAGAAAAAGAATACATTATCTTAGCGTATGTTCAAGAAAAAAGGAGGGAATATTATCATAGCCAATTTTTTTGTTTTTTTGTCATCTGCGAAATTTTATTAACAAAAAAGGATACACGATTGATTACATAGCCAAACCAAGCACCCCTAACAAAGCCAAATTTAAACTGTCGGGAAGACATCAATTCCCAAACAAAGTAGTACATACCTACCAAAGCCAACCTTAAAACATAACTAAATCACACAAACACCAAAGCATTGAACACCACCAACAAGGAGAAATAAACAAATCCAATACACTCCTCCGATTGCTTCTTCAACGATACTTGACCCAATATTGTTAAGAAAAAGCTGTTGAAAAGTATCGCATCAGGAAGAATTAATCGTAAAACGGAGTGTAAGAACACTGAGCTGTTGGACAAGAAGGACTTGCCCCGTAACCATCTTCATCATCACCAACGCCATAGCTTCCACCATAATTAGAGTCGAAGAGGACTCAAATCAAAGTAACCAAATCACACAACCAAGCAAAGATTGGAGAGCTCAAAAGCACCAACCAGTAAAGGAAAGTCTAGAAGGAAGTTAATCCAAGCCTCCGCGGATCTCGCGAGTAAAGGACCAGCGAAACCACCAATCTATAAGTCCGCCGCATACTTCATCACGAGCTACTACCACGAGCCCGGACCACAACCAAACCACAATCTTAACTTCACTCGCCACACTAAACCCTCATACCAATAAACCAGAACTAATCTGCCTCTGCCTTCAACACGAACTTCACATGCCCAAATCTCACCCGAACCACAAACTAATCCTGACCAACCGATCTAGAATCTCAAGCGACGGACCAAAACCCATCCATCGAATCTTCAAAGCCGAGAAATAAGTGAAAGACACACCATACCTAGAAACAAAAGCAGCAACAAAACTATCCAAAGACACACCATACCGCCAACAAAAGCTCGACCAGAAGCCAACGGCAACCATCATCAGTGCGTACTTATTTTTTCTTACATAATTAAGTGCGTACTTACCTACTCTTATTGCAAAATCTAGGCGTATTAATTACAACCACCATGAATTAGAAGTAGGTCCAGTGGCGGCTCACTAAGAGAAATGGTGGGTCACATGACCTACAATAAATCATGATATAAATTGAAAACAACAAAAGCCCAGCAGCATAGTTGGTGAATCTAACATCTTGACCTCCCTAAACCACGGTTTGATTCTCCTCTAACCCCAATATCGTGTATATTTTTTTAAAACCAAAAATCTTGACCTTGGTAAAAATTTCGGCTGGGTCCGCCACTGAGTAGGTCCGTGAACCTTTTCGACCAAAAAAAAAAAAAAGAAGTCCATGAACCTAACAACCAAGTTAATGTTCATGGTCTTATATTTCTTTAAAGCAATGTATTTCACATTTATTTTCACACACCTAATAGCCGCAAATATTTATAGTAAAGACATAATACAGACATATAATAGTATATATGTCTGCATGCACGTATTTGTATGCATATTATTCTTCGAAGATAATCTCCAGGTGTTCAATAAAAAGATCAAATAATCAAAATCGATTAGACCAAAAACCAACTATCGTGTTTCACATTAAGAATTATAGTCCATTTTAATATATATATTAGTCAAAAGAAAAATTATTTAGAGCTACACAGGACTGTGGGTATATCAACTGACCAAAAAATGCGTGGTAAAATCAAATTAACACGTGTGGTAAGTGCATGTTTTTGTACTCGGTGATTAACAAGCTAATGATGTCATTAAGCACTACACTATTACTTTTGGAGCGTGTACGTCACTTCTTACGGAACGCGATTGGGTTTTTAAGATTACTGTAAACACTACAGTACGGAGAAAATGAGACAGTATCGAAAGAAAGCCAAGTCAGCAGATTAATATTTAAATAACTTTCATATTTTATCTTATTATTTCTTCTCTTTGATAAGACATTCCTTCGAAATTGAGAAAGAGACAATTAACAAAAAAAAAAATTCGAAATCTGTCTCGTGAAGGTGGAGCAGCCAGGCGATGAAGAGAAGCTATTTTTGTCAACATTTAAAATAAAATATTATATATAAGTATTCGTGTAAATTATAGTCTGACTATATATAATTATGATTTATGAAGGTTCACATCATAAGAAAATATAATAATTATGTATAGTATACTAGTTATAGTAGAGTGTTGCGTGGACATAGCGCAATTTACGAGAAGGATTCAGTCAAACTTTTAGATTTAAATATTAAAAATAGCTGTAACCAAAATCCTAAATAAGATACTCTTTAAAAACTCGCAAAATTTTAGTCCATATAGTGACACTAGTTTTCATTTGACTAGGCAAAATCTGGTGCAAATTAATAACAAGAAAAGAGCTTATATTCCTCATCATAAAATCAAATTTAATTTTATCCATGCGATAAAGATTTGTTCTGTTACTTAACCATCGTTAAAACTGCCTAACAGAGTTTGTTAATATCATAACCATTTAACAAAGAGTTTATACATAACGGAACATTCTAACAGATTTTTGTGATGACGTCAGCTCTCAAGCGG